CCACCTATGGACACACTTCCCACAGAGTCACCCCGACTTCCAGTCTGTGATTGTCAGCCGTGCACACACTGCCCACAAGAGCTGCTTTGTTTCCCTGGTACCCAGATGGTGCCTGGTGTGTGGCACCACTCAGATGCTATTCCTGATTACATTTGCTTGGTGACTGGCTCACTCAGTGTGACCAGTATTACAATCTATTTCTTTTTTCTTTGAGTGAGTACAGTATCATGGTGTCATAGCTCACAGCAACCTCAGACCCTTGCACTCAGCCTCCTGAGTATCTGAGACTACAGGCTCCAAGCTACATTTTTCTATTTTTAGTAGAGGCAGGGGTCTTCCTCTGCTCAGGCTGGTCTCAAACTCCTGAGCTCAAGAGATCCACCTGCCTCAGCCTCGCAGGCATGCTGGGATCACAGGCATCACCATGCCTGCCCTATCTTTAGTATTTCTAAAGACTCGAAATAAGTAATCATGTGACTACGAAAAGTTTATTGGAGGAAAAGACATCAGAAAAGCAGGTAGAGAATGAATGAGGAAGTGGAGGACAGGCTCAAAAAGGAAGAACAGGCAGGTTCTCTTTGTTTCCAGAATACCACAGGCTGGGTCATTTATGAACACGGAAGCTTATCTGACTCATGGTTCTGGAGGATGGGAAGTCCAAGAGCCTGGCATCAGCACCTGGGAGGTCCCATGGATGAGGCATGGAATGGCAAGGACAGAGAGAAAGTTCATTTACCAGGACCCCCCTCCTGCAACAGCAAACCGCTGCAGGGACAGCCGTGCTGACCCATGCTGTTAACTCACCTCCTAGAGGCCCATCTCAACACTGTCACAATGGCACTGAGTTTCATCATTAGTTTTAGAGGTGACATTCAAACCATAGCACAGGTGAAGGCCTCCACACAGGCCCATAAAGATAACTCATATCAAAGTCCCAGACAGAAGTCCCTCCACCAGGGTACATACTTGGGACAGCAGCATGGAAGCTTCTGGGCTTAGTTTTAGAACAGTAGGCCCCTTCAGTAGAGTAGTTTCAAGAAGGCTGAATTAAACAAAGTAGCATGGCAGCAAATTCTGCCATCTGGAAGGATGGAGTGGGGACTCAATGCCATGACTAGCCTCCTAACACAGACACGGCCTAACACAGACACAGCCGCTCTTTATAGGACCTGCAGCAAATACTGACATCATCATAACAGTGGCTTCTTTCACAGACAATGCTTCCTGGGTGCCAGGCATGTTTACTAATGTTTTGCATACATGGTTTCTTTTGCCTTCTATTAGTTTGGACAACAATTCTGTAACATAAATATTATCATTCTAGCTTTCAACAAGATAAAGAATCTGAGGTTCTGAGATTCATAGAGTAAAAATGTGTCCAGGCTGGTAAATGATGGAGCCAGGATACAAACTCAATATTATGTCTCCAAAGCCACAGTGAGGTACCACATCAAAAGAGAAAGAACTCCAGAGCTCTTTGTGTGTGTGTGTGTGTGTGTGTGTGGCCTGCGTGAGCACATCTGTGCAGGCCTTGGTGGACACCCACGTCTGACACAGCCTTTGTTTCCATAGTGCTCAGTGACCTGTGGTGAAGGAACGGAGGTGAGGCAGGTCCTGTGCAGGGCTGGAGACCAGTGTGATGGGGAGAGGCCGGAGTCAGCCCGAGCCTGCCAGCTGCCTCCCTGTAACGGTGGGTGTGACGCCAATGGACTTCACTGCTCTGATAATGTTTTAAACCTCAAAACCCAGAATTTCCTTTTAGGATAAGCTATGGAATTTGCATGTGCTTATTGAGAAATAACCAAAGAAAGACACTCTGGGCAACATTAGCCTAATGTGGCTCTTTCGGGCCAGTACTTGAGGCGATGCCCTGGCCATCAGCTGTCACAGCGGCCTCAGCCCTGCCCGTCCTCTTCAGAGGGGATTCTGGGATGAGGCTGTGCTGTGTCCGTAGCCTTGTCTACTTGTGTTTCTAGTGGGGCTACTTATTCTTTCCCTGTTATATTCTTTACCTATAACTGGGTATCATTGTTAAAAGGCACACAATTGCAGAAGGTTTTGAGATACGTTTCTGAAGTTATTCAATTAAGATATGTGGATGATAAATGTTACTCTCGGCTCTGAAACATTCCCAGGAACTGTCCACCCATATCCAGGGCACAGACACTCCAATTTATCATCTGCCTCACCTTCCATCTTCCTGTATTGCCGACCCAGAGCATATTCTCTGTGTTTAAAATACAAAACAAGTTGCTATCTCGAAAAAACAAAACACATCAGTGGATTCAGTCCCTCTCCTGCTTCCTCTGTTGCTCTCTGTCCACGTCTGTCTCCCACCCTCATCTCACCCTCCACTTCTCTCTCATTCTCAGC